AAAATAATTCATGAACATATATGTCTTTAATTTTACCTTGAATATAATCTATAATAACCTTACTAAATTAAATTCCAATTCATTTGGAAGAGTTTAATTTTCTCTCGTGACATTCCCCATTCAAGTTTGAATACGTATGAATGTCTATTGGACTCGATTAAAGATCCATACGTTGAGAGACAGTAAAACGAGAAATTTGAATTAAAATAGAATTGATGGGATCCCTTTCACGGTGTAATCACTTGTAATAACGTAAAACGTGGATGCGAATACATCGTCGGCGATCTTTAAAGTATACAGCCACTTCGATAATTGCCTCCTATGTGGTCGCTACCGTTCCAGCCTTTGATCGATATCCTTGGTCGGCATCTAATAACCAATTATGCCGGTTCAAAGGTCGAAGGAACTTCTGAACGATGAAGTTGGATAATGCTTCGCCGTTGAACACTGTCTTGGTCGGTAATGGCTGGTTTCTGAATAAAATACGCGAACAAAAAATCGGCTAATTAATAAGATTAAATGAGAGTATTACGGAAATATTCTCGTGGGACTCTTTTTCTTTCCTTTCTTCGGTTCGTGTCTGGTTAACTCGAGAGAGAAAATTGCTATGATTCCTATCTGTTTCTTACTTCGTTCTTTCGAAAGTCTTTCTCGTTCATTTGATACTAAACTTTCAATTGATTTAAATCGTTAAATAGCATCTTCAGGAATTTTTCTTTTGAAAGTTTCAGTGAATGGTAAAATTCTATAAGATTCGCTGGTTCGCATTTCCACGATAAAATCAATATCCACTCTCGAATTTTTGTTTTTAAGCAGCGAGCTAGCTCGATCATTCACCCCTTGATCCTGACCGGTGACGTTCCTTCAAATTCCATTTCCTCAGGGAAACGTTCACCGGGTGTAGTGCTCTGTTTACGCTCATAACTACGGAATCACGCGATCTTCATGAGCCAGATCCTCCATTCCCGATTCCACTGGGTACTATCGTCTCTCGAATGGTTCGTGCTTCCGTGTTCCTGGTCGCTTGTAAAGGGAGTAGGTGGCTCATAGTGTCTGAACGTTCGCGGATATAAGGAAGCGAATGCCGTTCCGCTGTTTGCTACGCAATCGCGACACGCTCCGTATTTTCCTTGGGTACGGATGGGAGGCGCGACACCGGCTCGAGCCACGGGATACACAAGAAAATCTGAGGATATTAAATATTCGAGATTTAATACCTCCGGCAGTCCGTTGGATCGCTGGCTGGGATAAGAGACGAGGCTGCTGCCTTTTCTTTTCGACTGAAATTTCACCATTCGTTTTTCGATTCCGGCCAGACGTCCCTCCGAGTGGAGTTTCGCTTTATTCCCGGATTTTCGAGGAATAACCTCGGCATCCGATAAAATTCCACGAAGAATGGAAAACACTGAAATGGTCGTTGAATCGATGGACGGAGTCGTTTTAAAAGGAACGGTTAATTTTTAAATTGAATAGTACATAATCTGAAAACGCGGAGTTTTGAATAATTCTTCAAAACGATGGCGCATCGTAGCGCAGCGGTTCGTATAATTCGAGCAAGGCGATGTCGTCGTGCGGATTACGCGGAAACGGGAGCACAATAAGCCGAGATAAATTTAGGGTGGATGAAAACAGCGGGCGAAGGATCGTTTTATGGGTAGCCGGTGGTATCGCGATTTTCCGTCCACGAGCGTCATCGCGGTGTGTATGCGCGCCAGGTGAATTATTCACCGGCGTGTCATCTGACAAAAGCACCCTAGGGCGCCGCACAGAATGCGGTTTAAGGCCGGTGTCCATAGCCGTGTGCTCGGAATAATGTCGCTACCGGCTTGTATGAAGAACTTTAAGGATCGTCCCCGTGGCCTGGAAGCGAATCCCTTGCCCGGTCTAGTCGTTCATTTTCGCGACAAAGAACACGATGAGATCTCGTCCCTCGCCTTGTCTATTCCGCGCGGAATTCTGTAGCTTGATTATTTCATGAGATCTCTCCCGGAATGCGAATGAATCGTAGACGAAAGATCAGTGAAGTGAGGAAACCATCAACCGTGATTAAGCGGTTTAATTATATGCAGTTGGCTTAATTTACCTGTGATTTTCGTAATTTTGAAATTTTTCAAACTTTCCTTATTTTTACGTACCTCGGTTCATAATTTAAATTTCAACCCTTTCATATACCTTTTTACAAAATTCAGAAAAAATGCAAAGATTCGATAAAAGAACAGATTCTGAGATACTCGAGAAACCCTTCGTCACGAACGTTCTTTATCCACGAGAATCTGTTCGTGCAGCAAGTTAAAGGAGCAAAGAGCAAGCCGGGAGTTGCGGATCACGATGTCAAGCTGAAAATTTACATGACACGCTCCACGGGCAATTTCATTCTGTCTCGTCAACGTATCGTCCTCGAGGTGAAGTAAGGATGAAAGCTTCGAGGTTCGCGGGAACGTGACGGTTCGCCTTTGGTTTCCATGGGCAGATTTTATTGCTCCTTCGCGGCGAAGAAACTCTCGGTGCGTCATATTTCATCGCGTATCAGCTCGACTCCGAGCTCGACTGGCACGGTTGAAATTCCAACGGAATAAAACACAGGCCTCACCGCCCGTTCCACCTTGGCACCAACCCCGTGAAATCTAGTTGTCACGTTCCATTCGATTCGCTTCTGGTTCGCAGCCCTCCGGCCCGCCAACGAAAGACGATGATTTGTGTTTAAGTTCTTTCGGACTGGTTCGAGTTCCAGGGAAACTCGCGCGGAAACACTTCCGTTCGTGACTTTCTTCCGTCAAGATAAATCCACCGGGACAACTGGCCCGATCGTTGGACGTTTAAAATCAACGGCAGTTTGATTCATCGCGACTGCTTTTCTTTTTTTCTGTTCGTAAGGTACACTTTCTCGGTGTCGAAAGTTTGGAAAATTTTTCTTCCCGAACGTAGGTACGTCTTCTTGGAAACCTTCCAAGGATGTTATGAATTCAGAATTATTATTCTAAGAATTCTCTTTTATAATTAATCTCCGTTCTCGCTGTCTGATCCGGAAAATTTCTTCGGCAACCGATCGGGACACGCGTGTGCAGTTACGCGAATTTTCAGGGTGGCCGATGTCTCACGCTAGTGAAAACGGTGCAATTACGTAATACCGGCAAGATATGCTCGGCACGCGACCGATTCTAATCCCGTTAAGCGTTCTCCTTTCGGGTCCGCATTCCTTACGTACTTCCGTTATCTCACCTTTCCCGGAGCGCAGCCCGCTCGGAAAGGGTGTGTCACCGGAAGAGTCGCATAAGCGCGCGCCGTGCAGCTTGCGAGTCCTCTGGCCGGGCTGAAATAGGGAAACAATGAAAATTCCACCGATGTCTGCATATCCCGAGATCCCATCGTTCCCGTTTTTATAAACGAATCCGGGGCAACGGAATTCTAGCAGCCGCTTTCCTGAAATTCGTTTGATTGGCTCTCGTTTCTTCGAATAAAAAGGATTTCAGGCAACAATGGTAAACTCTTTCGTTTCTCGATTGAAACGTCATCGCAAACTCGATCAGTTTAATTTCATAAATTTTCGCCGCGACTAATGGTGATAAGTTTCGTGGCTCAACGAGAAGAAAAAGTAGCCAGAGCATTGTTAAGCAGACGTGACGGGCAGAACGGCAAGGTCCCGGTTCTACCGAGAATAAACCAGAAAGTAAACGGCGGGAGTTCATTAGCGGGGCATTACTAATCACGAAAGGAGCGCTCGTTTAATTAGAGAAGTTAGCAGAGAAGTTCCTTTCACGTACGGACACGTATCTCAGAGTTCCCTGGTTGGACGGTGGTTGACCATTGCACTTACCCGCTGCGACCGCAAAGTACATTCTACTTCATCCTCTCTTCGTTATCCTCGTCTTTCCGCCACCTTTTGTACGCGCCCGGAACACTGCGAGAAACTGGAAGAACCTAGGTCGGATTGGTCGCGAGATAATAGGTTATTAACTCTTCATTTCGCGCTGCTCCGTTGAACGGTGCTTCAAGTTGAGTCTGGAACTGAAAACCTCCTGGCGATATTATATTGAGATGATCGTAGAGGCGTTCAGTCGGGCTGAGGGAATAGCACGGTTAATATAAATGTTGAGAAAATATTGGGAAATGTGAGAATATTCAAATTCATTTCATTGTTGTACTTATGGAACTTTCTGAAAAATTATATAAAGGGTAACAGTGTTAAAATCGAACTTGTTACTGTAATATTTTAAGCCCTGGAGAAAGAAGCTTTTACAGAATGTCTATTTTCATGTTGAACACCGTGTCTCGGTTGATCGGAGACAAATAATTGGAGAGGACGAAAGACCGTCCCTCCTTCGAGACCGCGACAGGAAAGAAAAAGAAAACCACGTAGTTGAAATCGCGTCGCTTGACTCTCGGGAAAAGAAGTTGCTGAACCAACAAATTATCTGCTCATCGTCACAGCGCGAAAGATTTCTTACGGTTCAATGATTCTTTACCACGTCACCGAGCTTATCCTCTCGCCCGAAGATTTCCGTGATCACTTTTATTCGTTAGGATCGTAGATATACGGTGGTATCTGCTCGCAACGTCGCGTACCATCAGATTAATCCAATGAGTCGCCAACGAGGAATCCGAAACCTTGGAAAGATAATATATACAAAATAAATTTTCTAATCTTATCTTACATGATTTGGAATTTGTTTATAGCACATGTACATGTGATGTTTGTAAGTGTTTTCAGAATTATTTTCATTAATTTTATCACTTTTAATATATCTATAAATAAAATTAATCGAAGCGTAATATGAAATTAATAAACATTCGTTTCTTCATGGAAATCAATATATTTATTGTTTGAAACGAGTTTCTGTTTCTAGAAATGATAACAACGTTTTTCATTAATTTTATACCAGCTGCACTTTTTATTGCATTTTATACATTTGCAGCATTATGCCCAAGGGAAAATATTTTTTATGGTAATTTCGTACTAGCCTGTACGCTTCATTAATTAATTTTATTATTGTCTGTTTCAGGTAAATACGCTGCCAATCATAACATTTATTGTTCGGTGCCTGGTTCGAGGAATACGTAATACGAGGGCAGAATGTAAGTTTTTTTCAATTTTCTTGCTCATTTTTCCTCTGCACGGGTACACATATCCAATCGACGAAAGTTTGTTCAGTAGACAACTCGATCCTGTTACTCGGATGAAACTTTCTATAGAATTAGTTTAGTTATCAGGGCACGAGCTACTTTCGTTTGTAACTCACGAATCAGACTTACGAACAAGAGTTTCGAACAGTTTATCATAACATCGATATCGATTCATTATTCGTTAACGTTTTGTCCAACAATTATCAGGGATTTGACGTCTATCGGGGCAGATTAACCGTTCCCTATGCTGATCAGCAATTAATGACCAGTTAATTCTACGTGCTAATGAGGTTCTTACTCGGATCAACCAGTTTACCAGTGATACTGTTGAATTCCACCCTCTTCCCTCGAATTCTCAATAGGTCGTTTCTCTAATCGTTGATACATATCACTGTCAATTACGTGGCAGATAGTCTGCACTTCCAATTACTCTGCATTACAAAGTAAGATTAGAACCCTTTAATTTTATCATAGACAAGAGTTTTTGGTATTTAAAATTGAAGAGAAATTATTTTTATCTTGCACTTGATACTAATTCAAATGAAGTACAGAATTTTTGGTTAATTAAAAATTCATTATTGCTGTAGATTAAGTATGGAGCCAAGACAGAAAACCCTCGTTTTATTAAATGGATACTAAATTATTCTGGTTAAGAAGTTGACATTTTTATTCGTAGCATTATAGGTTGATTCCATGGATTTATTAATAATTTTTTAAGTGGATGCCCAGACAGATGAAAAATTGAATGTAATTAGTTGACCCAGACATTCTAATTATTTCTGTGCATAAGATTTTAAAAATAGCTGCTGTCACTTCACGAAAATTGTTTCACGTCTGGAAAGAAATTAGTCCAAATCTAATAAGTCAACAAGCAGGATGGATTTATGAGTTAAAAAAGGACTTTCATATAAGTGTTAATGATGATGCCTCGTTTTCACGCGTCCAATTCATCTCTTTTGAAACGTTCTGTACGTCAGACAACGGAGGAAACGAGATTCCTGCACGTGCGAATTCATAAAACATTCATTCGGGTCGTTTCTCGCGACGTAACGGCCTCGCTGAACTTCTACCCCATGCTCTCCGATGACAATGGGAAGAAATTGAATGTACAACGCGGAAAAACTGCTTCTCCTCTTTCGCTTGAGAGCACGTGCCGTGTATCTGGTAACGCGAGATACGATCGTTGATTCGACAGGGTCGTATTCTCATTGACTATGAATTTATAACGGCATATTCTTCTCGTGAATTACGACGGTTGATATCTTAACCATTCACACGAGTTGTATTAACCCTTTTCTTCTTTAAGTAATCAAATCCTCGAATATTTTATCGCTCTTTCCAAAGCTTAAATTATAAACTAGTCGGTCGTATATCTCCAGATTCCCGGTCGCTGTACAATAAAATAAACCACAAAGCAATTATCCATAACCTACAATAAATACAGTGAAATTCGTCGATAGCAGCGATTTCCATACAAGCTAGCTCAAATCCCAGAACTCGTTCGAGGCTGACCAGGGAGGATCATAAATCTCTGCAATCTCTAACGAACGCGTTATATAAAAATCGTAGAGCCTGTGTATTATCCGCGGGATACAGCGCGGTATAGAGCGTGTACGATGGAAAAAAAAATGCCTTTTTCCCTCGAGCTGGGTACGCTCCGACGTCGGTTAATCGAGATTTTTATCCTTTCTTTATTTAACGAATTTCCCGGGGAAACGATCTTAATTGCGAATCGCGTTACTTTCGCGAGTCCGCGACACGCAGGGCGGAAGAACGATAAAGGGATTACCGTGGTGTAGATTGCGCCGTAAGAATTATTGGCCTGCTGCCGAATACGATAATCGCGAGCGAGCGAGCTTCCGTAGCGATCAATCTTCATCGTTTGTCGATCGCGACGCGAGCGTGTCGCGGAGCCGGCTCGATCAGCGGAACGATCAGTCATTGATTCTTGTCCTTCGGGGATGTATTATTGACGCAACGAAACGAGGGTTGCGTGGCAGGGATTACGTGGTACGATGTTCCGGTGGCTGGAAAACAGACGGCGCCTACGGGGTGTCGTCGTCGAGAGAAAAAAATGAATGGCACCCTGTCAGGACGTCCAAACAATTTCCACGCGCGTCCTTGCTGGCCAAAGACGTTTGCAGAGTGAAATGTACATTACTTGGACATGTTTGAGATCGTATTAGATTATTTATCTGCAAAATCTTCAGCAGCTGCAATTTGTGTTGAGGCATCTTTAATCGAAGAGATTTATATTATTTTATAAAGAGGAAGAGCTTTCGAAATTTTTTGAACTTATTTAGTATTTGTTCATGGTGCAATAAAAGAAGGGAATAACGTGGAAATTTAAGGGAAAAATTAATCGAATATTTACGATTACACCGGCTGTTGTTGTTCTAAAAAGTTGCAGCTTTCGTTGCAATTATCGACAACGCGATAGACTATTATTAATAGCCGCACAATGCGAATTGCAGAATACATTGGGGTCGTACAGATACATTTTTTTCCTCGTAATTGGAACTGATTCGGAATCGACGAACCGATGAACGAAGCCCACCAGACAAATCAACCGAATCCCAATTACCAATACACGACTGCTTGTTATAATTTATGGAATACAACGATCGTGCTGTAGCCATTTCAATTTCGATATCTAACAAACGGATGTGCGCTATTGCTGCTTCGATTCACGGGGTTCAGTCAGAAATTCAAAGAGAATGATATTCACTTTCGGTTCAATTCACCATTTTGTCCTCTTTTATTTTTTTTCCCCCTAAAAGTAAAAGGTACCTATAGAAATCATTTCAACCGTAAAAATGTCTCTTAAACACTTATTCATTCATAAAATTGTAAGTGTAATTAATTAAGAATTTTGAATAACTTTCCGTCGGATTTTAATTATCGAAAGGACAGCTTCGCAAACGTGTTTCCTTTTCTTTCGCCTTCAAAATGCCGTGTCCATGATTCGGTATGCAAGTCACGAGCGCGAAACGGTGGAGAAAAGTGCAAAAGGGTCGAGAGTGTAAATTCAAATTAGCTGGAGATTGTCCGCGAACGTGCGATCTAGTAATCTCATTTAGGTGCATTTGCTCCGTTAATCCTGAGAAATCGTAAGACTTAAATGTAATTAGAAACCTATAAATGAGCGGCGGTTTTCGGCCGCACCGACGTTCCACGGCCACGACAAATTGGTTTAATTTCCTGCTACGTTGGCTGTGCCATTTTGGAAGAATAAGAATTCATTCGCTGTTTCACGATTCTCGTTAGACAAATCGGATGAACTACATTCTACGAGCCTCGATCCTATTAATTAGAACCATATCCTGTTTGATGCAACTAGAGGAAATGACTTCTTCCATTAGCGAGTTAATGAGAGAGCTGAGAAAATTAGAGTAAAACACGAGTCAGAAGTTTATTTACAATCATTAAATTTCGCTTAATGGTATTAAATTTCTAATTAAAACACGATACTTTGATAAAGTTACCGAGTACACGGCGAAACTATGCACTTCGAAAACTCGTGTCAGCTATTAAAATTTTCCTACCACAGTTTGATCATTTCAATATTTCATCAATTTTCTAAAATAATTTCATTAATTTCCCCGATAGTTAAACTTTGCGTTACAGCTTGCAAATATTTAATATCCCACGTGCTTTCTATAATAACTAAAGTTAGTACCTATCACTGAAGTCTACTAATTACAAACATTCGACGGTGTCTCCTAGCGATGCAGAAAGGGAGATAAATACGTGGAATTATCATTAGTACCGAAAACCGATTAATAAAGGATGTAAGCTGTTGAAGGGAGGGTGGTAGAATTCGAAATCAAAGGAACTCCCGAGCGTGCACGCAGCTGCAGTGTAACACGCACCGGCAGCCTTCGTGTATATTCTCCGATCGAATGTATAATCAGAAGGCATAAAGTGCTTACGATCTTGTAAAGGGTGGAACTGGTGGGCAGAGGGAAAACGGTAAGAGGATTTCGCGAGCAATACGCGAAATTCAACTGTAGGGGGTAAGATTTATCGTGAATAGCGTGCAATCTTGTACCGCTAGGCGACGTATGCCGGAAACATTCCACCCTTCAGTTTAAATCTTTTTGTGTATCTATCATGTTGGGACAGGGTGAAGTTAATCTCTGGTTAGTCTGTTATTCCACAATGCTTGTTCGCTTGCATGATGCTCAATAAATTCGGTGAACTTCATTTATCTCTTTTTACCCGAGTCATAAAGCAGACAGTGTCATATATTTTTGAAAAAGAAAATGTACATGCAAAGTGAAATAAGTAATAGAAAACTAGTGTTTAATATTCAACAAGTTTATTATCTTTCGTTAGAAAAGAAGAGTGAATCGAGTCAAATTATTTGACAGGAATAAACGTCAAAAAACATTGATAGAGGATCGGGAATCGTAATAAAGGAAAGCCGCAATATCGAGAACGCAGTGTTAGTAGCCTTCCATTCTGTTCCTGTTGCTCGAATGTTTCCCGATATCCAGCGGCGGTTCGCCGACTGCGACTAAAAAGCATTGCATTGTTCGGTGGAAAACGCGGCAGGGATGGCGAACCGTTCGCCAGCAGCCACCGATCGACGACACACCCCTTCTTGCAGCCCCGGGGCTGCGGGATACTTTTTATTAGTTTCTCGAGGTGGCAATTAAGTGACCGTGCTTCTGGCTCGCGTTTCTCTTTCGACGCGTCTCTCGCTTCACCCTGTCTGTACGTCGCACGTTTTTCCTCTACGGGAACCACCCTTAACGACACTCCACCACTTCTTTCCCGTTCAATTAGTCGACCGTTGTTTTTCCACGGCGAATCGATCATTATTGATTCACGAGCGGCCACGTTCGATGGAGCGGCGATTACTGTCGGGGGGGAAGAAAAACGAGAAAAGGGGTTTGCTGGATCGGCGAATCGTGCGAAAATCGAAGAACAAAAGGGACCCTATTGGGAACTGAATTTCGGGATCCGTTTTCCCCCATAAAGGAATTAGTCGGATCGCTGTCGATGTGCATAATCTCGTCGCGTTCGGTGTTTTATGGAAATGAACTTTCCTATATCGTTGGCGATTAGAAACGAGATAGCGACCGTGAACAGTCAGGAATAAATGATGTTTTATCGAATATATATGTAGATAATTTCCAGTTCATTAAATACATTAACGTGGATTACCTCCTCCAGATGATGTCTCAATGATCCAGTATTCAATTAAATGTTGATTTTCACATAATTATCGAATCTTTAACGAACCTCGATTTTAATGAACTCTTTAAGGCTCGATAAGAAAATAGAATCGTGAATGAATGGAATCCACGAGAAATCGCGAGATTTCCTTTTCGTCGTCTTGAAGAGAATCCTCAGCATCTACGAATTAATAACCTTCGTTGAAATGGTACTTAAATGGCTTCGTTAATTTTGCTCATTTAGTAGAATTTTTGCTAATTATTTCTAGGGTAATTAGTAGTTGCTAACAGTTTTCATCAGCCTACGATCTGGTTTACATTCTATCGATCTCAAAGTTGCAAAATGTAAGTAAAATCGATTTTCCAATATTTATTTTAAATAGAGTAAAAAGGTATTGAAACTTTCTACAAAGCAATATTCTCCTTTGTGATTTTATTTTACTCGTATTTTAATTACTTCCCACGTATTGGTGTACCATAGAATCGTGTGAAACGTTCTCGATAAAGTCAAGAGAATAAAACAATCTCTTCTCGGTATTCGATTTTATTAGTTGTTCTACGATATAAACTACAATTTCATCGACTAACCGCGCCCGTAGCAAACAAACCTAAGTGTCGATAAATTCATCGATAAAGAGAGAACACAGAAGAGAACGATTTCTTTAAAAAGTTTGCAAGAGAAATAGCCTATAAAGAGATGATAGCCATCGTGAATGACCCTGGAACATGAAAATATTCCGCGATGAGCGGCAAGAAATTGATCTAGTTATAGGTTGCAGCCATTCGCCGACGAGTATCGTTATCATAGCGGTAAGGTATTACGATAGGATCGTTCGATCGATCGATTGTCAGTGCAATCTTTCCAGCCGCGAAATCGTTACAGCCTTTCGCTAGCGTTAAATCGTTTCACGCAAATTACCCTCGTAAATTCGTGGAACTCGCGAGCGACTTTTCAGTCTCGTAATACCGTGTAAACGTATATACGGCACGTTTGTACGTTTTCATGGGAGATCCCTTTTCCCCGTTTCCATTCTTTTTCTTCGGTGCTAAACGTTTTTCACGTTGCGAAAAAATTATTGCGTGAAAAAAAAGAGAGTAATTTGAACGGAAACAAAAGAGCCTCTGTCAATTTAAATTCGGAACTTTCAATGTTACAAACAATTATCTTTTTAATAAGGAAATATCGATATACCGGTAAGATATTAGTAATAACACCTCTTTGATCAACTATCCCTTTTACTATACGACCCATCGATGGCCTCTCAATTCCTTGCACGATCCTAAGATGCAGGAAATACTATTGAGGAAATAGTACGTGCTGCTGGTTGTAAGATTGCTCGGGGTATTTGCATCGAATTGCAATACAATCAAGAGAATTGACGTTCTGGGGATCCAACGCGATCGTTTTGGTAGCTGAACACCGATGCGTGTGCAATATTCATGGTAATCGAATTTGGTAATGCGATAAACGTTTATTGATAAGACACTTTGGGGAGCGCTCATTCGTAATACCGTTTCCGCTGTCGACATTAAGGGAGATATACTGATTGTTAAAAAGAAAGAATTTTCTGTCCTTCTGATAACTTAAATTAACTATTATTCTCTTTTTTTCTTTTTTTTTTTTAAATTTTCAATTCCTCGTGTGATAAAGGAAGGAGATTCTTAATATTCTGACGTATTCGCGACTTTGATATGTCACATAGTCACCCATAAAATCAGAATCTCTCTACTGTGCGTTATCTCGAGAGGAGCGAAAGTAATCCGAGAATATCCAAGACGTGAAAATATGAGAAAATCCACGGTCCAATGGATCCTAGAAATCCATGCAATCGGGGGTAGAAGAGATTCGTTTGACCTTTCTTGATTGCTCGACGCCCGAAAAATATCGAAAACGATTCTGAACGCGGTCGATTCTCTGCGTGGAACTATTCGGCGCGAGGGGGATATAGGTCAGGACAAGGTTCCTGTGCCGTTCACAATGGGAACAACAACGGCATTGTCTAGGCAAGCGGTGATAAACGGCGCCATGATAAAACCGGCCAAGCACGAAGCTGATGGGTTTCGCTGGCTTGAGGGATGACCGTCCTGTTGTTTCGGCAAAACCACCCTTCCATCCTCTGCCGCTCGTCGCCACTCGACTGCATTTTTCCACTTTATCAAGCCATTGCTTGATCCTCGCCCATCCTCTTCCCCTCCGCCAGTAACTATCTTTTATTTTCTATTTTAACGTCGGTTTCATTCACCTTTGGCAGGCTGCTGGATGCGAAAAATATTCTCGAATAAATTGCAATTTTATGTTCTCTTGGTCATTGATCAAACGAATTTTTTCAAAAGGTATCCGTAGACGAGGGAACGTCGCTGGTGATGTCCATTTGTGTGTGAGATATGGTTAGTTCAGTTGCAGATAAGGGAAAAATTGATTCTGAGATAATAGGAATAAGTTTAAGGGATGAATTAACCCCCTTACCAAAATATCGAGGAATTCAAATGCTATTCTTATAAATTTCAATGAATTTTTTATTCAGTTTCTTTGAAATATATAAGTGGTGTTGGTTTTTATCTTAACAGAGTGGAAGTGCTTTGAAAGATACGAATAATTATTAAGTTATTAATCGTCTAAGATATTACCATTTTTTTTTTCATCACACTATATGCAACGTTCGCGAGGATTAATTGAAAACGCTGCGTCGAAGAGTATCGTTGAATAAACAGGGTAAACGTTGCATCTCTCTCCACTTCTGCCTTCATAATTTATTATAAATTCCGCCTTTCATAAATTCTGTAATCACTCCCCTTTGTGAAATTGCTCGACGAACGGAACGGAGTCGCAATACGACGAGACCAGTTCTCTCGTTTTTAAGGCAATCATTTTTATTTATTTATTATTATGTTTTTTTTCCTCACCATCCCAGTCGAAAGTCCCAACGAGGTGATTAAAAGCTTCTTAGACGGAACTTTTAAAATTCCACCTTTCTTGTTTGCCTAGAAAGGGAATTCTTTTCAACTTCCGCTCTCTACAATATCAGCAGCGATCAACGCCACTACCGTGCTCGTCCTTTGAACGTGCCTTATAATTCAAGGAACCGAGAAAAACAATGGTGTATTTGCAAAATTCGTGCAAGTAGTCTTATGTATCATTTGCTTTATCAATTTTGATTTAAAAAAGGTTAACATTCGAGTGCATATAAAATAATTTTTAATTATTACACCGAAAAATGGATCTAATTTTAATTGTAAGTTTCTTTTAAAAAATTCTGTTGATATGAATGATAATTAACTTTAATTAAGGTTCAATTAAGGAACCATTACTCTAGAACAACGAAGAATTTACGTATAAAAACCTTTAAACCTACGTGAAAAATGGGACGGAGTTTGCCGGATCCCCCGTTCAAGCCTTAACCGAAGAATTTATCCAAGGCTAAGTATCAAAGAAATTTTCAAAGTAATTATAAGTACGGTATCGCGCGAAATTACTTTCGGTGATGGTGTGTTCGTTACATTGAAAAATAGGGGGTGTCAGTGGTCGTACGCTCGAGGGATTGGACGATTAATTAAGTTGACGAAGTATCATCGAATAATGCAAATTCTTCGAATACGCGGTTGAATGAAAATTTAGAGAATCGCAAATGAATTCATTTAATTGCCACGGGTATATTTTATTTTTTATCATAGAATACTTATTAATCATTTGTTGACCAATTCTCGATGGTTCTCAAATCTGATCTTTATACACCATAAAGGATTAACAACCACGTGTACATTATCATGGTGGACCATGGGAACACGATCGAAACCGGGTAGGTCTGTTTCGGCGGAGGGTAGTATGTGGCCAGAGGGATGAAACTGGTCGAGGTTGGCTACGCACAGAAATTAGACCACGAGTTTCCACATAGTTTACGATGCTGACGTGACCATTTTGTTTACGCGAGAGTTGCTAGATAACAGGACGGAATTGTACGTGCAGGATCGACTCGTGTGTCGAAGAAATTTTATGGTTTTGCTACCGCCTCTCTGGTCGAATTGAATTTTCGTAGTGGATATCGGTAAACGATTTTTGAAATGTGATACTAGAGATATCTTCGGGATATAATTCCTTAACGTTTTCTATTTCACCAAAGTATCTTTTAGAAAAGGGAGATGAAATTTGAGGCTATTCGTGTGGTATTTTAGCATAGTGAAAAAATTGAATTTTGATAAATTATTTCGAAAAATTACAATTTAATTTAATCAAACCACGAGAGAGAAACTAATTGAAGGAAAACATTTTTCTTCTTTCTTTTTAATGTTGAAAAAGGGAAATAGAAGATCGTTATACATATGTACCTGTACACGGAAACGAAAGGTTTCGTGTACAGAGTAAACGGGGAATTGTAAGGGGAAATTGTTAAACATTGAAATGCTCGTATCGTGTTCCCCGAGGACGTCTGTCTGTCCACGACAATGAAAACAAATGGGAGCGGTTTTTCTTGTCCGTGTTTTATCTTATTCACCTGGATGAATCTCCCTTTCAATGAACATTACTCAGCTACAAATCCCATAATGTAAATTACACTTTCCTAGAAAAACTATTGCTAACTTTTTCTTTATTTTCGCAACGACATACATTTACCTGATTAGTTGATTCGATCGTGGAACGACACGACTCTCAACAATCTATTTAATCTAATTTCTGTTAGCAGAATAATTGATCAATATTCTGTGACCCAATTCTCTAATTTCTCGCGGTTAGAAGCAATATTCGTTGATACCGTATCGCAAAAGGGGAAAGAAGACTAAACAATTACTCGTTCCACGCAATAACCACAAACTCGATCGGGGAACGAGACGAAATAAAGTGCTGTGATTTATCGCAATCTCGCGTTTCCCTTCGGGTCGTCGCAACGTCGTCGTCGTCGGCGTCGTTGTCGTCGTCGTATCGACGTTTCCTGGTCGCATAGTAGAGCATTCGCGTAGAAGAGATGGGTGTGTATATCCGACGCTGTCTATCGGCAAACATTGCGACGTGTCAGAGTAAATCTTGCCGGTGTGTACGGGCCGGAAATTGCCGGGGTACCTTCGCGAGTAACTCGAAATCAGTATATTTACAGTGGAAGAACAAGCCTGTCGGAATCAGGCGGACGAATCTTATCGGATCGAGCTGACAATTTGTCCTGATGCTCTTTGTAATTGTACTTTCTCGATGGATTCGATAGACATTGAACGTTGATACAATCTTATCAATTAAAACGAGTTGATTGTCTGTCAATTCCGTTTCCAATATTATTTCTATTTCATTATAACACTTGCCTTTAATTGATAAGAAATATACAATCTGAATTAATCTAAAGAAAGTAATAATATAGCCTCTCTACCATCATCGACGATTTACAACGGCAGACATTAAGCGTTCTGCAAATAAGCTCAAGTATCCATTAAGTCCTCTTGAGGGAAGAGTTTCGTTTTAAAGAAAACCGCGGCATTCGATAGGAAAAAAAAGTTGCCGAGACCGATACGAAGAACTTAACCGTAACCTCATCGTCGAATTGCGGGTTTGCTTTATTATCAGGGATAATACGATTTGCCGGAACACGGAAGACCTTCCACGACCCGCATCTCTACAAATCGTTTTACAGGGCCCATTCAATTTTGTTCTCTTGCCTGTTCACATTCAGCTTTTACCTCGCCGCTATCGATTCGGCTTTCTTTTTGATTAATCGTCCGCTGGATATGATTCTTTCGCGCGGATATTTACCTGGGATTTTCTATATTACCCCGACTGGAACGGGAATGAAAGGAATTTGAAGAGAGACCGTCGGATTTGACGTGAAATAATGAGAAAAATTCATCGTCGGAATGGTTCGAATAAGGAGATCCTTTGTAACCTGTCCGACGTCTTAACTTCCATAACGAGAGGAACGAATGGCAAGATTGCCTCCAGAAATTAACACATCATTTTTTTCCTTGCCATCCGACGCGATTCGGGGTTAATTACTTTCGTAAAGAAATATAGAAACAGTTAAAAACACCGGCGAATCGGAAGAATAATAGTACACCTTATATATTTCGAATTTCACTCTTCATCCCTGACTTTGTTCGTCGGCGTTCGTTCAGCTGAATCGACGAGATTTCCCCTTTTCTTGACTGCAACGAGTAATTCTGTTTGCTTCGAGCACCTCTACCCGAGACGATAAATTACAAACGTTTGCTGTTTATCCGTTTAATTCGTCCTGGAAATAAAGGTGCGGCTGAAGGGGCGCCGTTGATGAGCACACGCGCGAATTAAGGAGGGCGTTCACCGTTGCTCAGAAACGGGCACAGTAAATTGTAACGATGCTAAAAGTCATGTCATAGGTGTGCCATCGTCGGTGGATAACAAAGAAAAAAAGAAACGTGTATATAAAAAAACCGTAACGAGTCCTTTGAGAACGGGATAGTTCTACTTTCACACAGGAATAATTAATTGGCAGAAATTGCGAACGTCGATTAAAGTGCGTTCTTCTGAATCTAATTAATATCGTTTCACCGTGAACATGAAAAGAAAATTTATTTTTAAAGAGGTTATTGAAAGGGATCCTTTATTCGATGCAAATCGAGTTACAAAGATTGATTTTTTCTAGTTTGTAAAAATTGAATGTTGCTACGTGATTGTTCGATATTCGTTTCACAGTTCACTTTTTTATTAAATTCTTTTTACATGTTTTTATTGAAGCTCGTGTTTCGAGGCTGTTAACTAAATGGATCAAAATACGCGAATGATTTTCGACCAAAATACATAAAAAATATTATCCATGAAAGCCATACAGTTGAAATTACAGAACACAGTATCAGAAAGGAATTATTAGTCCACGGTGATTCAATTAAATTTCTGTTTTACATGCTTGATTATTTAAGGAAGCAAATTATTATGTAAGTACAGAATGCATGAAATTTCATCTGAATTATTCATGTTTTTACTTGGAATCCAAGACCCCTGGATTGTTACATAAGAAATAAGCTTATGTTTTAAACAGAGCATCGAACTTCTTAAGAAATCAATACTAAGCACTATTTAAGCTAAGACGGAAGCTTTGTAGAGCTTTTAAAGTTAATTCTTTTATGCGATTAACTAGCTCAGAGTGAATACCGTTATACTGTTCAATAAAATAGGTTGATAATGATATACTTTATTAATATTGATGAACAATTCAATTTTCAGTCTTTGAATTTGACAAATGTAGTTCGTTTAAAGAGTAATAAACAAAGGGGAGTAAAATTGCTGGAAACTGATAAAACAGTATTTGTTCGCGTCAGTTAAAACGCATCATTATTGTAGCGGATAACGGTCACAGAAGAAATGAATTTCGGTAGCAGATTGAAGCTTGTTATCGAGGCGGCGCGAGCGTTTTCCGCGTTTCCGAAAACCGCACGGTCCGGCGAATTATATACAAATTGTTCCAGGTCGATACTATTATCGCGACCCGCTTAACGTATGGAGACGCGGAAAATACGCGGCGGTTAATTTGTAATCCCGCAGGGCACGGCGAGCGTTATTTGATTTTTCGCTATCGACAATTTCTACGCTTCTGCTCGTTGAATCAACGTGCAAATCGTGTTCATGGGTTAATTCGAATTACTCATTGTTAGCACAGAGACCACATTTCTGGCTGTCATCTTTTTCCATCCTCTGTCTCTCGCTGAGTTTTAACGTCATCAATTGATGACACAGATAGAACTCGCAGCGCTCTAGAACTTGATTTATCGCTCTTCTAGGGTAACACGATTAACCGTTTAAAATCAATGCCTCGATCCGACTAATTCGTTAGATTCTACTAACCATGAGTCATAATTCTAAACGATGACAAGACGGTACTTTGGTACTGAAATATGTAAGTTTTGTTAGCTAAGAAAGTGATATCATCAGAAACACTTGTCTTCCAATTAGCTCCCAATTATTGCAGGATAAAGGGGGTAAGAAACGCGTGTCAGAACGCGGTTAAGAAATTTCGTAGACGATGCGTGGCGCAACAATGTTTCGCGTTTACGCGGCGTCTCTTTGGCGAAGTTTATCAGATCGACGGGTGCTGTTGGCGTGTTTGCTCGCGTTGCATTTTCGAGTCTGGCGTTCGTGCGAGAAATTAGGAAGGGCTAATTGAAAGCGTGGCACCTAGCCACCGACGTTGCTTAATGTCGTTTAATAATAAATCGCGAGTCGAGCTGAATTGTGCCCCGGCATAAGCGAAGTTGCCTGGACAATGGAACAATTTGTCCGTCGATGAGAGAGCGTTTAACTACGATCCGGTTTAAATTTAAAAATATTCCGACGCGCGTAACCCTTTAAGCTGTTAAGGATTACTTTCGGAGACTTTTAAGGGAGAGGGCGGAGAAATCGGTGCTTGATTTCGAGAAATAAGCTTAATGACGCGTGCAAACGGAAGTTCCTTGTTTCTGGGACGCGATCGATTTTCTCGTTTTATTCTCGCCGGAACTGCGAACGGCTCGTTAGAAAATCGAGCGCGCAAGTGGTCCCACAGGCGATTAGCTAATTAAAGAGCGCCGTCTGGATCGTTTCGATTCGATTGCGCCACATTAAAGGTCGATTTTAATGTTTCTACGATACACTTTACTTATGCAATGTATCTGATTTAGCACTGATACGTTGTTGATAATTATTGTCCGGTGAAATATAAAATTAAAGCAGGTTAATTTCAATCGGTCAATTATATCGACGTCGATAGAATCGGTCCTTTGAAATCGGTTCGACGGTGTCGTTCTTAATTAAAGAGCGGGGAGGAGAAAAAAGATCGCGGTCGTTGAATTGGTTTTGCCACGGTGGCAAATATTTCCGCTGACGAAGGAATCGCGAACAATGCTCGACGAACGAGCGAAGCGGAAAGCCAAAGCTCGACCATCCTCTTAACTATTATTGACACTGCGGAAACATCGATACAGCGCGGCAAAACATTCCCGCGGTAAGGAAAACGAGGAGAAAACGGTGGAATATGAGAAACTTCCACCGCAACTGCATCAATTTTCCCATCGGCGACGTGCAAATACTTACTTTGAAGACTTATCGTCGGTTCAATTAACGCAACGGCGCACGATCCCGTCGCGGAAATATGTTTTCGTACGGATGAAGAGCTCGAAATGAAATTGGTTTAATTAACCGCTCGAAGGCTCGAGCGAAACGGATAACTTGATGTTCGGAAGTAATTACCCTGTATGATAAATTAAAGAGACAGGTTCGCAGAATCTCTAACTAGCGACGACACTCGATCGGTGGAAATAAATTAGAAAGAAATTAATTTTTATCCAAAAGTTTCAAAAGTTATTCGGTTTCGACGGAAACTAATCCCACAAGACTAAGCTCTCCTAGTCTCTTTGATCAAAGATCCGTTCATCATCTATGAATCACAGTGAAATTTCTCGTCGTTAATAAAAGCTCAAGTCGATGTTGCAAATATTTGCGGAAAACTAATAACGAGATGAACGAGGAGGAGTCTTGGACTGGCAAAATCAAATTGCGGAGCAGAGTGTGCGACGCGAACCGCGACGCATTCACGCGGCCAGAGTCTCATCGACTTGCATTCCCCCTCTTTCACCTCCCTTCTTCGTATCCGGTGTATCTAATACTTTAAATTAACCCAGTTCCGACCCCGTCGCTTCCAACCTCGGCTCGCTATTACCCGAAGCGTAACGCTGCTAACTCGGTTAAGCTCCGACAGTTGGCAAGTCACTGTTTCAGCTGTCAGCCGGATAATATTCTAGCTTTCGATTAACCAGCCTCGCTGCCCACTTCCGGTTACAGTTTCGCGAACACGGTGTCGAGCGACCGGCAAAGCGAATGATCGTTTCACGTATGTTTAGCGTGACTTTTACCACGACTCCCCGCTGCGGCCGTTAAAAGATCGACCGACCGATTGTGTCCTTTAGCGGGAAAACGCGTGTGTTACATCGAGCTGAGAGGGTTACTTTGATGTAATACTATTAATTCATAGATGGATTAGAAATGTAATTATAGCGCTGTGAATTTATCGCAAAAGGGGTCGGTTAAGCCGTGCGGAATAGCGTGTAATTTCGAAATGGAACGCTTATTCCGGAATGTAATCCAGGGAATGAGACTCTCCGCAGCAATTATAAATTTTTTTAACTCTTACCTTTTTTCCAGCTACTATTTCTTATTTCTAAATTTAAGAGCGGTTGCTTTCAAGCTTCCAGTGAAAAGAAATATATTTTTCTAAAAGGATTTCGAATTATTCATTTATACAGATAATATCGTACAAAGTGGTATCAAAAGCTCCTATGCTAAATCCATATCCCAAAGGTGATTCGCATTCCGTGGATCGTTGCTTCTGACGATTTTTCCAGTCACCCTTAGACACCCTGAGACGTGGGTGCTTTCGGCATGGTCTTCTTAACTCGGGTCTGTTCTTGGGATCGAACTAGCTACCACTCGAACAGCTCCCATGGGAGAGATCGTTGCCACCTCATTCGCCAGCCAATGCTTGAGACCTTCCTATTTACATACGCCATCTTTTCAACCCCCTCAACATCGTCGACGCCTACGTCGTTCCACGCAACTATCGAGGTATTCCTTCTGAGCGACGTCATCGAGAGCCCATTATGCTTGCTGATTTGCTTCACTGATAAGGCAATGGAGACTTCACCGGCGACAGGGGGTGAAAGCCGGTTATCAGGGGTAAGGGGGTCATTGCACGGACCGTGGAACGAGCTCACGGATGACGTCTTCTATTCATAAATATTACCATGCGAATATCTTTATCTTGGCTTCGTTGATTCTGTTAAAGTATCTGGATAAAGGAGAAAGGATAAGAACTAGGATCCTGAACGGTGATAGGTTCTTTTGAAAAACCGAAATATATTTTAAAGGGAAATTAGAAGGAACAGTCTGGGTTAGATTTAAATTATAAGATTGCGGTAGTAAAGATTTTCTTTCATTTTTATTATGAAGTTTATGAATGATGCCAGTGAGTGTTTATAAAGTTCGACTGCAGTTTTCAGACGAAGAATTTTGAAATATTTCCGAAAGTTCCAATGAAGAATTCGAAATCCCTGGACGTGGCCAGAAAGGCATTCTCGAAGTTCCAAAGTTTACGGTTCAAAAGTTCTCGCTGAATCTGGCGAGCTGAACGAGGAAATTTTTCATTCTATCGAAGCGCGTACAAAAAGAGACGGAAGTGGACATTCGAAACAGCTGCAAAAACCTCGTCTCTCGATTTCATAAAATTTTCTTAACTACTTTGGCTGAAATTAAATGTATATTTAAGTATAGTATAACGTACGAACGAAGTTATATAGAAGAATATATGGAAAGAGCTTGTTAGAACTCGTCCAGAGGAAAATTCTACAAAGTTTCATATCTTTTTCCTGAAAATTGAACACACGACGAGGTCAAAAAGTCACCTCTCGACGTACTTGATTTTATATGAAACTTTTCTCATAAATTAGTAGTGTGTTACTTAGTAAGTAGAGAATTTCATGCACGTTGATCAGTCTCGTTCCTCTTGACGTTCTCTCCTTTATTGCTTTCGCAGACCCTTCACGTGTTGCACGTGCGCCGTAATCAGCACGTAAACGCGTACCACTGGTACAAGCTTAATGTCACATCAAAGGGAAATCCTTTTCTAGACACCAATTGTAGGTTGTAATCCTTCGGAGACTTCGTTTAGTAGAAAATTTTAGTATACGCATTTGGAAGAACGAGAGTTACCCTTCTGTCGTTGATTGTGTCTCCAACAAGTCCGTGAAAGGGGTTTAAAATGCGATAAAATAGGATTGCCTTCGAGGGGATGATTGTCTATTAGTAAAAAATTTATGAAAAATTCTTCTAATATCTTTGACATGTGTACTTTTATGTCTCTTGAGCTACAGTAGATGTAGAATTTTATTTAAAGTAAAGCACAAAAGTACATAAATCTAACGAATTCATCCCTGCAACGCAGTCGACTAAAATTACAAAGTTTGCAATCGATTTTCTCGTTATTTTCGTCGTTGGTTCGTTCTGATAACCGTAACGAGATACTAATTAATAGCAACGTCTACGTCTGAATGAGACGTTGGTTGCGTCACAAGGTGAACAAGAAGTCGTCTCGCCCACGCGACCTTTCCCTCGCCCGCAGGAGACAACAGAGCCTCGGGGAACAATGTTTTCCACGTAAATCAAAAGGAACTTGGAAGGGCTTCAGCCGCAAAGAACACCGGTTAATGGCGTCGGGAAAGTTCGATTCGTGGAATATCGAGTTTCACCGCGAATCAATCGACTTTGTTCGACTTGGCCGACACCAGACGAATCCGTCCCGCCGAATAACCGGCTCTCCGTGAAAGTTAACGACTTTCTTCAGCACCGAATTTCCCGATAACGAAGTTTCATCACCCTACCCCTCTGTTCTGCCCCGTACCACCCCCGCCCGAACCGCTGTCGACTAACCGGAAGCGACTTCTCCGCGCCCTGTTCGGCTCACCTTTCCCTTCTTGGCCCGCATCCGCTACGCGCCGTCGACTTTCCATTCTTCTCGATCATATTTGCTCCCACGATGGATTCCCGATATCGAGAGGAATTCATCGATAAACGGACCGAATCGAGGGAGAAATGTAACAGGAACTGTAAATAGAGTTGCCGGTAGGGGGGAAGAAAAAAATTAAAGGGTCGCTTTTCGAGTTATCTCGGTCGGGTAAGTCGTTCGTTAGCTCGTTGAAAGTTTTCGGCGGTTTGTGTCGCGACAAATTCGATTTCACCACGAAAGCTCGCTGTAATTTGATTGCTCTTGATCGATACTTTAAGTGATTGAGTCCTGAACTTGATTGTAATTAAGATTCTTCGACGGTTAACGTTATTTTCTACCGGGGATATTAAAAAGTTTTGAGCGCCTACTGGTTGCCGTTCGTGCTGAGTTTTAATAAAGACCCGTATGTACATGCAGCATCCATCATGATCACTTTTGCGTCGACACTCTATTAAGTTTCATTTCTTGCTACTTCGTAAGGGTTTATTATCAGCCGCGACCAAGTCACAAACAACGTGATAAAAAAATCGAGCCGTACCCCACTGAAAATAATTCTCATGAATATAAATTGTCGAATCGTGGAGATGAGTGACGGTATAGGAAAAGAAAGGATGCTTCGTTCTCTGAAATTGACTCTTTGCCTGAAAACTAAATTCGTTACACGCCTTATTCTGTTTTTTAACCACTTTGATTTCACGCTTTTATAAATCGGATTCGAATTATAGCACAAATAGAAAAAATAAATAGTAATTATCGTACTGGATTATATTAATCTTTTGTAGGAATTTATATTCGCGAACGGTATGATATTAATGATAAATTCGTCGGATCGTAACGGATAGGTTTCATGGTGGAGCTAAAAACATTCTGTTCGATGTCAAAAATTCATCAGGGCTTAATTGCATCGCTATGAAATCCCATTAAAAAACATGGCCGGAAATGATATAAATTTCCAGCATTTCCACGGAAGGAAATCCGACTGGCTGGTTGGCTGTTCTATTTTTCAACGGGAGATACACGTCGAAAGCAATTAGTCGTGTTCCGTTCACGCGAGCTCAGTTTGTTGGCTTCAAAGAGTAATTTTACCTAATATCTCGAAACACTGAGTGGGCTTAGTAAAAGCTTGCATACTTCAAAGATATAATCCCCGGAGAAGACCGGAAATTGGATAGGAAATGAAGTGGACTGCTGAAACAGAGAACACTCGCGCCTTCCTGCTCTTTACGCTTCCGAAAGAGTCCTACGGGTAAAGTGCACTTGGTGCAAAATTGAAAAGAAAGAAACGCTGATTATCATCGTCCCCGTGGATGTCAAATTATGCTTTAATTTCTCCTCGTCTACTCTCTCTCTCCCTCTCGATCCACTTCAGACTTCGTTTCCTCTACTTATCGTTTGCCAAAGCGTGTAAATTCAATCTGGAAATGGTTATGGTTAGGACCACTGGAAATGTATGAGAAGCGATTATTAATAGCTATTAACAAACTTAATGGGCAGATTATTAGAAAGAGGACAATTAATTAATAATTTGTGCTATGTCAATTTAAATCTTAAACTTTGATCAAAATAATTACACAAACTATTAATATCCTTAATGCAAAATGTCTGCTCCAACCAATTTCCACCCTTGTATATCTTCATCTAAGAATAATCAGACGAATCTTCGCACCTCCCGAATGAACTTAAAAAGAAAGAAAAAGAAGAAACAGTCACGAAGCTAAGAGGCAACGAGATGCAGGAGAACAGCTTGAATAATGGAGGCTAAAAAGACTTTATCGTTCCGCAATATGTAAACTTTCTCCTAAAAAGCAACGAGTACGGAAGATGAAAAACCTTTCAAGGATACAGCACGATTTTTCACCTTCCCACGTTGGCCGAGCGTAATGTGAATTTATGGGATTATTTTATCGCGACTTGGAACCGTGTTCGCGCTTGCAACCGTACACATCGTTGTTCTTTCAAGCTCGAGGAAATCAGATTTTCATTGCTTAATCGCGACACATCGAACACCATAAGATTTTTACACGTACACCTCGCGCTACATTGCATAGAAACATTTACGAACCATGAAATGATTCGTTACGACCTCCTCGTTTCCGGCCAGCAAGCTGCTGCGATGTAATCGCGAGCTCGTACGAATTTCCGCCAGCTTGTAAAATATTAAAACGTAATCGTGTTGCTGGTAGAACAGCGGCGATAAAGTAGACGTGTTGTAGCTTCCTAAATATTGAAACAAACGTCTTGCTTGACAAATAACGATGAATCGGTTCAGTTTTCGAAAGCTCTGCATTTGGTGATGCTAATTTATAAAATGGCGTTCGGATACGCTGAAAAATCACAATGAAATCTCGACAGAATACGCCAGTGAGGATTGAAAGCTCACGGTATCGTCGATCTCGCGGAGGAAGCCTCTTTCCGCTTGAAGCTTTTCCAAGCGTGCTGACGCGAGTCTCGAGCCCGCGGTACCTTGGCTGGCAGTATCGATCACGACTCGGCGAACTTGTCTACGGATAAGCCTTGTGACTAGGAGCAACAGGAAAGAAAGGGACTAAGGGAAAGGAAGGGCTGATGCGCGGCCTAGACAGAGAGGTCGACAGACTGAAAGCACGCGAACAACACAAGCCTGGCAGAATAACAAATGAGCGGGCCAGGGAATGAAAGAAAGTGGAAAATAGTCGACGACCGGATGGTACGAGAGGACGAAAGAACGGAAGCGACGGAAAGGAAGAGCGGTTGGATTGAACGGCGTCGGGATGGATGACGGGAACAGAAGGCGATTGATGAAAGACACTCCTTTCTTAGAAATGTTGCCCATGGACGATGGACAGACCGAACTTCCGTTCCACGACCTTTTCGGCAATGACAAATGGAGATGCTACGTGAGAGCTTCTCTTTCAAGTACAACCTTTCGAAGAATTATTGTTTTTTAATTGATTAGTTGAATCATTTTCGAAAGATCCTAAGATTAAATGAAAAATATTCTGAAACTACGTGTCTGATTTAGCTGTAGAGGATCGAAGATATCTCGCAGAAGATTTGAGCAATTTTTCGAATTTATGAAACATTGAATAAAGTAGACGTAACTTCGACAATGGATTCTCTTCTCGAACAGTCGATCGCTCGTAAAACACACGATCAGCCGATTGAACCGGAGACGGAAGCTGGGTATCCGTGTGTGCCATGCGTCAATATAAAAGTCGTTTCGACAAGGCGTGGATTTTACAGTCAGGATGTAATCGCCTGTAACCGCAGCTGTTTAAGGAGCTTAATGAGATCGTTAGTCTGCAATCGTTCCGCGACTTACTGTCTACTTAATACCCACTTAAGGCTTTACGAGTGTTTAAAGATATCGACGCCTCTGCAGCGAGGCGACGACCATCCTTGGCCCCCTCGTAAACCAGAATCGAGAGATCTTAGAAAGCTCAACCTTTGTCCTTTTTGCTTCGCGAACCATTGAATTCTCTGTTTTATAGCAAGAAATGTACCAAATCAGCTTGTTAGAAAAGGATCTTCGAGTCGTACGAACGATTTATCCTCGGGGTACTGTTGCAGAAAATAGACTCTGATTGAACCTGAGTTTCAAATGATTTTATTGCTGTCTTCGTATTCGGAATTTCTTGGTGGAAAGATTATTCGAAAGAATTTATCTCTGATTAGAACAAAATTCAATGTATCTTACGAATGAATGAATTATTGCAAAATTTTTAAATTGAAGTAATTAAACTCTGCAGGATAATTTTGTGAAATTTATTTAAATTTGCACAGTTGTATTAAATAAAATAGAAATCGTACGGTGGAACGAATATATGTTTAATGTCAATGCCGAAGCTTCTCTGAATTTAATGGATTAGCATGGAAAATTGGGATTATACTATATTTATTGCATATTCGTTTCACATTGTCCGTGTAATTTAAAAGTTTAATCCAGAAATACTTTTCCTTCGTTTAATTAAAAATCCGCTTTCAAATATTAATGCCAGTTCAAATTTTATATTTTTGATTAAAAGAAATTTTCCGCTGACTGAATAATAAGATGTATTCAAACGGTAGATGGGCGGAAAAAATAAAGGCGCGAACAGAGCATTTTTCTAGACTGGTTTTAGAAGTTCATTGAAGGCTCCCGTAAGGTGCATAGTTGGAAATCCTCTTTCTTCTCGCGAGGCATTAGCAGGAAAATAAGAAGAAAAAAGTTACACGAAGCCAATGAGGATAGCGGAGGTGCGGAATATTTTTCTGGGTCAGAAACTGAATCAAGCGGGTTGCATCATTGAAAAGGGCTGATGCGAGGCTCAAAGCATTTTGTAAAGGACAGGCGGTTTCAAAGGCGCTTCGGAAACTTTCATCGAGGTATTCCTTCAACAGTGTGGCACTTCGAAGATTAACGTGTCACCGTGATAGTGTTGATACTCTTTCAGGACTGAAAGCTCCCCTGAAGAGGAGGCAACGGTACCGTCGACCAGAAAATAAGAGATAAGGGTGAAAAAAAAATGTTCCCTTGGTCGGGGACGAAATTTTAACGTTTGCCTTCTTTACTTTCGCATACGTTTCATCAATTTCCATCTACCGTTTCAAAGATTTAATATTACGTTTGGAACAGTTATGATTGGGTTAATCTACGAAAAGTGTACAACTGTTTGTGAACCAAAAAATTAAACATTCAAATTAAAAAAGAAATTTTAAAAACTCTCCATACTTTTATTTATATTACGTACAAAATTTAGGACATGAAACAGTCTTCTGAAAAGTTGGAAATTGTTATTTCACGGTTAAAATGAATTTGACTTTGATTACAAAATGAAAGAAGGAACGAAGGGAAGGAAACGTAGCTGAGGGATGAAAAGGGTGGAAAATTCCTTCAGAAAGAAACGATAAATCTTTACAGTTTGTAAATCAATCATCTTCAATAAGTGCTAACAAAGAAAAATTACCATTTTGAATTCCTCCTACAAAAATCTTCTAACCAATAAATTCCTGATCGCAAAACTTTCTATCACCGGTTCTACTGAGAATTTCACGTTCGCACGATCGCAGCTGGCTACAGTGTATCGGAATGGTTCATCGTATTTCGTTTCAGCTGGCAACAATCTAATTATTAGATTCCTTACGGGCTGTAACGGAGGTTTCTGCGGCAACGAGCGCAATCTAAGCTCACGGCTTGATCCGGTCGTAAGATTAAATTGAATCTGCAGGAAGGTTCGACGATCAAGTAGGTCAGGCAGGTTGCAACCGAACGGTATGCGTGTTGCCGGGGAGTTTGAAATGCGGCGAGGCTTTGCCATTCAGGGCCAACTTGCCACATAGTTGACCATTAGTATTAAAAGCTGCTTCGAAGCAGAGTTTCGGTTCGCCTCCTTTGTCGTGAACCATGCTCGCACATGGTTCCTCGACTCCTCGGTAATTCTGTTGTTTCACCAAACACGTCCGTGGCCCTGAAACTTAATCAATCTGCTCTCGTTAAAGCAATTAACTTCTGATTCCTTAAATCAATTTTCAAGGTAGTTATTTTCGTACCAGATGTCTTTCAAGATTTCGCAATAGTAAACATAAATGTTTCATGCACTGTTGAGTTGTTAGTTTCACGGTTTAAAGATACAAAGAAGAACATGCACGATTCGTGAAACGAATCTGAGAACAGATCACGCGCAAATGCGAGGTCGTGTTGCGAATCAGCCGGTTATGCAAGCAAGAAGAACGCTTCTTCGATCAGCTTCTTCGAAGGGGAAAAGAAGAGCATCGTGATAAATTTGCATGAATAAGTTACTTCCGTCGTACTGTTTACTCCGTTGAGTGGCTGTAAAGCTGCAAGTGTTTGCGTCAAATCTCAATGATACCCTGAAGTTTCGTGTTGCTTATTCACCATCGACGCGACGCCACGTAAAGGAAGCTGCTTCTTTCATCGTTGTCTGTTGCGAGGAATAAGCGAGGAATTTTCAGGATCAAGTAATTTGAATATTTCTAAAGCTCGAGTAGATAATTCCCGTTTCTTTTTAATTATTTTCTTCTAAACATCCACTTGAAAAACATCTTAAGTTTGTAACAAGAGCAGTAAGGAACTCAGAATTTATTTTGCATTATCTAAAAATTCGTTCTATTGATATTAATTGCTTCTAGAGTGTATTAACGCTTGAAAATAATGCTGAAACTTGGTGAACAAAGTTTAAGTTTTAATACTTACTCTGAACTTCGTGTTCTTGCTATTTTTCATGAATTTTTCATTGGGAACTACAATCAAGGTACACTAAGGAGAAGTCTCGTGCATCTATTAACCTCTTAAGTATTCGGTATTAAACTGTGTACTTTGCTTGTATCATATTTTCATGATTTTATTATCGAGTTTATTTTCATTTTTGCATTTGTGCTTATTTACTTATTTAATCTATTAATTTTGTATTCTAAAAATCATCTCTTTAAATGGGAATATCCCCTTATCTAAAGGGTGTTAGCATGTTCAGTTGAGTGTAAATGAAACTATCAAAATATTTTCCTTATTTCGAGCATATCGCTTCCGTCCCATCTATTTTCCTCAATTTCAATGGTAATGTTCCGACAATCCCCTTTTCTTACCCCTATTTTCCGCGTCAATTACCTTCGAGCAAACCATAGTGGACAGCATAGAAGGTTCGAAAGGCCAGGCAGGAAATAACGATAGGGCTGTGTCTTGCCGTGTGACCGCACAATATGAAAGGGAGTGTAATAGATATTCACGCACAGGATCGTGCGTGATTTTGCTCCTATCCTCTTCGATTGTTCGCGAAACAAGGGGTTGTGTGTTGCATCATCGACCGTCTGACACACGTTACACACACGTCACGTAAACATTGACGTGTGCCGACCGGCTCTGTAATTATGCTGTCCCAATGAGCATTGTTACGTTTCGATAAGCAATCGCTTCGACCTACGAGACAATCGCTTCGAATTCGATCCCGTCCCCTTTCGACATCATCGCAACTTCGTGCCGTGTTTCAAATTCTTCGTGACTAATCGCATACCAAGGTATTTGTAATCGGTAATTGATTTGAAAAATTTTTTTCGATTCTTAAATTAATTACTGCTTATACAAATTAAGATGAATTTTGAAGAGAAGAATTGCGTGCTTAGGAAAATGATCACAGTAACCAAGTTTGACGGTGACAATCGAAAACGGTAATAACTGATCTATGAAATCGGTTGAATCGCGAGGCGCTGTATTATGTTCGCGAGTACCATTAAAAGTGCCATTAAACCGCGCGAATTAATCGGTTCGCGTGAAACCGTGTTCCGTCCAGTTGCCTCGACCGCGTCAAACATCGTTAGGATCCGCGTTCGAACGTATTAATTTACAAAATATTAATTCACATTGCACCGGGTGACGCGCCGATGAACTTCCAACGAATCGAGCAAACATCGGCTCGTACAAGTCGACCTGGTCCTGAGCTACTAATTCCGCCGCTTCAATGAGCATTGTTACGTTTTAACGATCATTGAAGTGTAGTAAGGGACAATGGGACTGATTACAGCCGGATGAAATCGTATTTTCATGCGACCCAACGTTGCCTCGCTCTTTATTCATCGGTCTGCGAAAGAACTGTTTTCGAAGCATTCGCCGAAGCCCAGAATAAAGCAGATCAATAATTAATGAACTTCGGTATTATTACTTAAACGAAGATATTCAAACTGTTATAAATTATTTCGTAATATAAAAATTAAAAAATTAATTAAATCACCCCGGATTTTTGATCAACATAGAATTTAATTGAAAGAAGAGAAAATGTAAAGGAAAATAATCAGCTTGGGAACGTTGTTATCCGGTTTATCTGTCTTATTTGAAATGTCTTATTCGCGAAATTTCATTAGTGCGCTAAAAGCGGCAGTTGTGTAATATGAATATGCAATTTTATGACCACTCAGGGGAAACTCACGTACCTACATAAGCGAGTTATGTATTTTCATCCCGCGAGGAGGGGACTTTCCGACTTATCCGAGAGAAAAGTTAAGCTCGGACCAGAGAGTACAAAGTGTGTACACGAGCTAATAGGGATGAAGAAAAAGAGTGACACAATTTTGTACTAAAAAATTGTAATATTTCTCAATTAAGATAAACGTTTCAAATCTTTCATTACCCCGATCTTGTTTCAAGGTTGACCGAACACGAACACCTGTTAGGAGATTGCCATCTTTAATAGCGGTTAATCGTATTCGCTCTGTTGACAAGCATGAAACTGTTCGTGTTTCCATTATACACTTGCTCGGATAGTTGTCCGAAGGCGACCTACCAGGTGAACCGTGAAACGATTAACGACAAAGTCCCGATGCTTGTTTCGAGGGTGTGTCACGTGCTTTCTCATCATGCGGTGCGTGACGAATTGTTACGACGTCGTTCCACGCTCGTCCCCGAGCCTTTTTCTTTCGCCTGAAAGTCGATGACCGTCGACAACGCCGTGTTCACGCGTCGTCATTTTTCACCCGTTGAGAATCGACCGGCTCCACTCTGTCATGGCATTGTTCGACGGCAAGCAAGTAGATACGACCGACCAGTAGAGCCAGTTAGCTTTTTCCTGCCACATAATCGACTCGTGGTCTTGGTTAAATCATGTTCACCAGTCGAATCGAGTCTCCCGAGTGTTTGACCGAGTTGTTTCCTTGATCGAAACGTGTACGCCTTTCCCTACCTCCTGTTTCTGATCGAGTAATAGGATCGATCGAACAGCGTTTCTAGTTGAAAGAGCTTTCCAACGAACCTAACGCTCACGATCGATTCGATTCTCGCTTAGATATCTGTTTGAGCCGCGATTCTGATCGACCGGTGCTTTTGATCGAACGATGTCTCCGATTTAATCGCTTCAGGTCAACTAATGGGGTTATTCTTCTAATTAAATTCTACCTGCGATCGAATTTTATTTCCGGTTCAACTTGTCTTTTAATTGGTACGTGCTTTCGATTGAACTGAGCTTACACGTCTTATTGGTATTATAATCAGGTAAATGGTATTTAAATGAAATAATAGTTCCAGAGAACCATCCATAGTATTCCAGTGTTCTCTAATATATCGTTTGCAAAGTGTTCCCCGGAAAGCCGAGGAAAAATTTGCGTCTTCTGGGTCGTTCGTTCGTTGAACATCTTTCACGCTAACCGCAGAAACGGGGTAATCCAATTTCTCGTGATATTACGTAACAGCATGACAAAGTGGATTATTTTTTTTCTGTCGTTCTCGGACGGTGCGTCGAGGCGCGGCACATTCTCGTTAAGTAATTAGTTTATCGACGCTCGTCTGGACCGGAAGCGGGCATACTCGGTTGCTATTAAATACGCGATAATAATGAAATTTCCCGACGGCTTTCCCTCTATCCTAGCAAGAAGACATCCTCGCGGAACTGATAAAAAACAATCTAGACCATTCTCTGGCGAGAACAATTCTTGTCTTCTGAAAACTTTCTGGGAAGAAATATTCTGTCCCAAAACTTTTCGAAGGCGAATGGTGCCGGGTTACAATAGGCTTCATTTTCGAATCTATAATAATTCAATGGAAAGAGGGTGCGGGAGAAAGAAGAAATGTTGAAGAAGAAAAAGGGATCACGGCTCGGTGTGATCCATGCAGAGACTTTAACGCCATTTTCACGCCTAAACGTAATTTAAAAGTTTGCAAGTCACGACAACGTGCGCGGCGACACCCTGTGCTGTTAATGAAAACTCCCTCCGACTCGCACTTTCAATTTTCCGGCGTGCGCCACTGCTTCCGACCTCCTTTCTTCCGGCCTCTTCCGCCGTCTGTTCTTTGAGCCCTCTTCGTTTCCCCGTAGAACGCGTCTGGGTTAGTCATTTTTACCCTCTTAACGGCTGTTCGCTCGGTATACAAGTTCCTTGTCTTATAAGCTGGCGGGTTCATATTCTTTTAGTAGAAGGTTCCGTTGTTGCTATCGTTTATTCCCTCGCCGTTTCGTACCCTTATCTCTCCACGAGCATGTTCTTCTACCTCTTCGAGTCGCGTTTTGCTGAAAATTGTGTCCATGAAAATATTGGAAACTCCCTTTGAAGTTCATTTTATACAGTACTAGGACCTCTGGGACTCTTCCCTTCAATCTTTCTGCTTCGTTTACGTACACGGGTTTTGTTGAAAATATTTGAAACTTGAGGGAATATAATACAAAGGGTTATTGCTTCTCGATGAAATTAATATTGCTGTTAATTAGCCTTTGGTAGGATTGAATGCAATTATCGTGCATTTCTTTAATAAAATAAAAATTTGCAAAAGATGGAAATTTAATTTATTTCTATCTCTGATATGAAGAATATTCGTCGTATTTTTTCGAGATAGATTTTGCAGTTAAAAATTAAATGAAACGCGAGCCAGCCGTTTCGGACGGTTTCTCCGAGCAGTTTTGCGCTGCTTGCAACGCGTTTTTCCAAAGTGGCTCGCACCAGAAAGCGAACACACACGCGGAGGGGCGGAACATCGCGATGGGGTGCAAATAAGCGCAAAATGACTGTCGGCAGCTGGCCATATTGGCGTGAAGTTGGAAAACGTCGGCGATACGCGAAAGCTTGACACCGATCCGCTCAGAATTCATATCTCGCGAAAGTTTAACGTCGTCGACAGGCATCGACGTCGTCGTAGGGTGAGGAAAAAATAATTTCGAGCAGCCTCGAACGAGCTAGGGATTTTACGATCGCGTGTCGTCGAACCGTTTACGCGCTGTAAAAAAAATATCGCTGCTCAGCGATAAGAAAGGAGAAAATTAGATGGAAATTGCTGTTCGACAGTTAAGCCGATCATGATTCCTCCACTTGTTGATTCCGATGACTTTAATAGGAATCAGTGTTTTATAACTTGTTTTAATTTGTATAAAACCTCTTTCTTTTCTTGTCAGTGAATCTGAGCAATCGTGAATCTTGTAATTTAATTCCAATTAATCAAAAAGATCCTTTTTTTTAAATATCAATGAAATTTAAACGTCTGTGTGTATTTAGTTTCAATAAATCTTTCTGACAACAATAACAATGATAGGAGTTCTCGTTTTATCGTGATTCTTGAAAAGCATGTCCCAAGACACATTGAAATCAGGGACGCCCTTAGTTCAGTGCCAAAGGAATCCGGTACAACGCTTTACGGGTTGACATTTATTGCGCCACTCTTTTCTCTCGATGCCAACAGATAAATATCGGCGCGAGTTCGCACCAGGTCGTGGAAAGAAATTGTGAGAGAAGCGAGCGTGTGTGTCCCGCGAGAATAGAAACTCCGTTGAGAACGGGGCTCAGGATTTTCGGTAAAGAGCGGTTCGACTACGTTTACCCTTTTTTATTCGTAGCATTAAATTGAACGAAATTTCCTTGCTGAAATTATATGTCACCGAGACTTACTTCCTAACCATCGTATTATAAAATTTCCTGTTCGTTCCATCATTTTTTATTATTTTATTTGGCAAGACTTATATCTCAAAGTGTTCCCCTCGAATTTTAGTTTAAACTTTTATGCTCCACGGCAGGAATATTTGCCTGCGTCTCGGGTCTCGAACCTCCTTGTTCGTATTTTTCATTTCAAGTTTCTTGACACTATACTCGGTACTAAAAGAATCAGGAAACTTTTGAAAGTTGCGATATTCGAGGCGAAGTGGCATTAAAGTAAGAAGAAAGAGGGAAACGAAAATTTCGAGTAAAGGGAAACGCGTAAAATTTTGAACGTCTACCAGTGAAATCTAATTTTGTATAACAGCGAGGATTTGAGAGATTGCAATTTTGACCGATAATTCATCAGAAGAGGGTGGGCATGTTAAGTGTCGGCATAGTTCAACGCGATTACAACGTGCGCTCTAAACATGCTCGTTTCTTGCAAAATTTATAGGCGAATTTGTGCATATGAGCCTTGCCTAATACAACGCGCTCCATGTAAGCGCTCTTCAATGGAAATAACCGCAAAGCTCATACGGCGTAATTAATGCGGCCTACTAAATTTATTTTAATCGCCGAGATTACCAGGAATAATCACCGCTAAGTGGTGTTCGCCATCTAATATCGTTGATACCACTGTTTCGCTATTCGAGTAAATCGTGCGTAATTAGCAGTAATGTTACACGATTGTTGCTTGATCATTTGGTTACTCTATAAATGGAGGAAATTCGATATCCTAAGCTCGCTAACGAAATCAGTTTGCGATCGTTACACGAAGATTCGCGATTTGCGAAGAAATGGAATACTGTGAAGATAAATAAATTATACTCAGTCTTATCTTTGATACGTTGAGTTGCTCGTTAAAAAATATCTTTTTTTAGAAAGAGAACAGAGTATATCAAAGCAGATCGTGAAAGTTTGAAGTATTCGATTCATGTTCTGAATAATATATTGGTAGAAACGATTTAGTTGCCTGGTAGAATGATAATTCAGTAAAAATACATCGTAAAGTCGATCGCCGTCGGTGAAATCGGTACATTTCGGAGGAGGAGAAGAAAAGGATTTGGTTCGCGCAAGTTGAGCCTGCTAGTCGATGTTTCCACGAAGGCTCGAGGTCCAATAAAGCTGTCGAAGGAAATATTCTCGTGGAAAGTATCCACGGGGGCTTCGATCGTCCGCGAGTCGGCCGGATGCAATTCGTCTGAATCTGCATTGAATCGCTGCAAGGCCCGCATTGTTCAAGTCGGACCGGTGTTACGGACAAACGAGAGAATTGATATTTTTCCGTCGTCCCGCATAGATAATGCCCCTATTGAATTGCATTCGTCGTGAGCGACGGTTGAACGAACGAAGAGAAGTAAAAAAAAAGAAGAGAAAAGCGAAACGAGGAGAAAAAAATGGCGAAGGAAAAACGAAGAAGATGAAAAAAAGATAATAATAATTGGATCGTAGAAGAAGTCGACGGCCTTCTAACAGGCTTGGCTTGGTATTATTTCACGAAATATTACTTTCAATCTCTAACGAAGTACAAGCCGTCGCTTCGAACAATCTTCATTGTGCCAGAGCGCAACAAAAGGGTGTCATTAAACGTGTCTGGCGGCACGTTGCTGCCACCGAGAAAAGATTAGGCGGCGGCTGGTTTTTAATTTAATTGTAATTAAAAGTAAACGAGGCCACGCGTTCCACGTTAACGACCTTAGAACTCACGGTCTGGTGAAATTATATAGGCTACCTCGTCGATTGTGAATGAAAGTTTCGATTGTCCTCCTCTTGGTTTCTCTCGATTTTCATCCTTTCCCGTGGAAAATTTTCGTAATCAAATTAATTATCTTTTTCTCTCTTTCTGTATTTTTCTATACAATTTCAGAACATAGCTTCAGTTATTCAATTCAATGCTCGTATAGCCAACTGGTTCTCTATTTTTGTATTTTATTTCAATAATGATTTATGTTCTGATAAAAGGAATACGAGTTTCGAATTTTCAGAAATATATTTTATTCTCTCTCGATCTTCCACAAAATATTTTAAAACAAATACATAAAAATGGTCTGGTTATTCGGTTCAATAACGCCGGAATGGCTGTCGTCTCGCGGTCTGCGGGCAATTCGTTACGAAACACCGCGAAAGTTTCGGGTGTGAATAGCAAGCTCTTAAACAGGGCGCGTTCAACCACGAAATAAGACACTAAACAACGGGCACAGTGAAAATCTTGTCCGTCGCGAACATGCAAGACCACCTTCAAGGGCCATTACTCGCGGGCCAATAATTATTCGCCGGCCTCCACGTAAGACAGGCCGCCATTGTGAGCCCTAGCCGCTTTCAATACGATTGTCCCTAGCGCTGCTTATTGTCGAAAGTTTCCATTGTCATTATTATTTCGTCGCATTATGTCCGGAGATTTATGGGCTCGTGTAATTTCGCTTCGCAAGGTCCTGATCGCACGAACCGTTCGACGTATCGTGGCTTCTATTTCCACAACGTGAGAGCGAACTTTATCGGGATCGCCATTTCTTTTTTTATCAAATCAAATGAAATTGTACTCTTAATTTTCTATTTGATCGGATGGAGATAAAATATCCCAACTCTGTGTTGTATAAAATAAAGATCATTCATTGTCTGTCAATAAACTATTAAAACGGTGCGAAAATAGCACGGAATTGAACAATCCTCTGTTCCAACGTCGACGAATGGAACATGCCTTAATGGAGACCGATAATTAGGTTTCAAGTAACCAGATCGAGGATTGACGTTCGATTGGTCGCAGTATTCCTGCACGAATTTGTAATTCTCCGACAAAGAGGGTCGAGAGGAAGGAATTGGTGATGGGTGTCTGCAATTTTGTGGTGCAAGCCTGACGATTTGCATTGCAAGACCACGTCCTAGCCGAGACTTCCTTCCTTGAACGAGCTCTAATTCTCGAGGACCAGCCAGACGTCCGATTTCCGATTTTCTGGTCCCCCTTCCTTGAGAATCCGGAAGTCGGTGTTCGAGTGGTTCAGTCCATTTCTGCTTCCAGCCTCACCACTCCATTTACCCGATTTTCCTGGTCGATCTTTGAATTCCGTGCACTTGCTGATTCCGTGCTTTTTGAGAGAATATTTGGGGGTTGCAACTTGCCACTTAATATATTGATTACATAGTTTAATTTATCCATAGGATTGAGGCATCGAATACATATTTCAGATTTAAGTATCTCACATTTAATTTAACAAGTCCATTTATTGCTTTCGAAATCGAAAGTTATACAGTCCGTATTATTGTGCAATAACCCCTTTCTCTAAAAGAAAATCCAGATAAATTCGAAATCGTTTGCTGAACGCGACGAGCGTGAAACGCGAACGAGTCCACGCTCGATTAACATTTACTCGTAACAAATTCGCGTTTACGCGACATCAGGATGAATTTCATCCCCTAAAACTTTATACCATGCAATTAAGAATAATGCATTCGTTACAGCATTGCGATAATAGCCACTGCGATCAACACACGGTTGGAAACACGACATTTTGTGTTTTATAGGGCTCGTCAATGTTATAGTTTAATATTGTGCAGCAGTAAAAACGTTGTTGATCTTTATGAATATCATTAATATTTTGTGTTCTTTTCTGTTTCAGGTGAGCTTCCGGTATTAAAGAGAAATGCTTGACTGTAGCTGTTGATCCTCTGCACTGTTGCTACTGCTCCTCCTTTGATTTTCCATCCTATGAATTAGAGGAAGAATAGGGTAAGTTAATAAGATTTACTGTATGATCGTTAATATGAAGATTATCGATAGGAGGAACTATGACATGAATTAATGAACAAAAAAAGTAGCTATTTTAAAAGCGCCACTCGTTTCGTGTGAATGATTCTCTGAGGTAGAAAATAAAGGGGTCGAAGGGGATAAAAAGAGGAGCCGTAGGGAAAACAGTGGTCAAGGAAACGAACGAAAATTTCCTGGTGACTGGAGCATAAACACAAATACGAAAAACTGTGAGGGTACAGATGAGGATAAAGAGAGGCTCTGACGATGAGGGTTGAAAGGGGTCGAAAGAGGTTGGAGCGAGAGAAATGGTCGGTGCGGCGACAAAAACGGCGATTAGGGGAGGTGCTGACAGGGCTTGGGCGGGTAATGCTGACCGCACACCGCAGCGTACACCTGCGACCCCTTTACCCTCCTTTCTACCCTGAAACCCATGGGACTAGTTCGAGATATCTCTCGTAATTCCGATAAAATAATGACCATCGACAGCCCAGGTTAAATAAAACAATCGGGCAAGCTTTTTCTACACCCTTAATCGAACGTTCGATTGAAATTCCTGTGTTTTGTGTAGTTATAAAACGTACGAGTTGTAATGAGCTTGTTAATGAACTATTACAATTTTATAATAGGTACTTGGTTTTAAAATTATTCTTTAAAACATTCAGAATATTTTATTTAAAAATCTGCTATAAATTAATTTGATATTTAGATTGTTCAACTCCATACAACTTAATTTTTATTATTCGTGAAAGCTCGTTTCTTATTAAAGAAAAGTTCACTCTATTTATTATTAGAAACAGTCCTTCAGTTTCACGTCGTATTTCATACAATGTTTCTGCCTCTAAAAGTAGAAATGCCCCAATCCATCACGACCATACAACCTTGCAATATTCTGCCATTTGAAATACATGAAGGGACTAACCCGAATTTCAATACTGATTTTAAACACGCTCTTTTTTATCTAGAAATACATTCATCCAATGAGGAAAAACGTTGGTAGCCTGAAATCCCGGTGGATTTCATTTCTTACGGTACGGTTACCCGCGGAACGGGATGTAGATTTTCACGTGTCAAAAATTACACGGCGTGTCCTGGTAGAATGCTCGCTTCGGGACAATATTTTACGATCGTTAGCCCGAGCGGATTTCGAGGCACGGCAGAACGCTTTTATTAGGTTTAACGCCGGTTGAACGGCACCGTTGTCACACTCGTTCCGTTTATACACAGGATTTTCGTATTGATTTTACTAATTAGCCGCCATCGTGCTCGCTACTGTGCGCGTAAGAGACCCACCCTCTTACCACTCTACGCTTACTTTCTTTCAACAGAATTATTTTTGCTGTATATAATTTTCTCTATATACACTTAAAATATTAAGTGTTATGAAAATTACCAGCGTTACAAATTTCATTTATACATAAGTAATTAAAAAAATATAGAAAGAGAAGATTCTGAATAGTACCAGAATTCTTTCTTCATGCTAACTACAACATTATCTCGAGAAACACATTTCATTTTTTCTTTCGCTATCTTTCAAGTTTCATGCTTTAAAGTGATCTCGTGATGAAAGGGTGCGAAAGACACGGTAACATTAAGAGTTCTTAAACCTGTACACGACTTTGCTACAAGTGTACTCCTCTTTCTTTCTTTCCTTACATTTTAATTGCTAGTGTCACTTGCTGTTCCTTTATCTCTCTGTCTTATCGTCGCCTAACGTTTTACGTGTCTGATAAGGTGAGGAATTTACATGACCACCGGTTCGTCCGTCTTCGATCCTTTTAAGGGAACCATTATGTACACGAGCCGGTTGTGTGTTCAACAGAAACAACCTAACTTGAAACGTGTAGTTTAACCACCGACAGGAGGACATTGTACAAACCCTGGCAACCTTCGCTGAGAACAAGTACACAGGAGCAATTTAATTACATGTATAAATATCTTATAGGACTTAGAATATCGGTTATTATTCTAGAAAACTATCATGATAGTAGCTGAAGCCAAAAATAAAAGTCTGAATAGATTTAGACATTTAGTTTTTGATATATAAATATTTTTGACTGAATTAAACTCTGTCGTATAAAAAAAAGAGATAAAGCTTGAAATGAAGCAGTATGACGTTTATATGAAGCACAGCGTCAATTATTCACAGTATGAGAGCAACTAAGCTGTAGTTTAGGAATAATTTCACGAATTCGCACGTTTGTTTAAAAGAATAATATCTATGCAAATGACCGCGAACGGGCTGCACCACCGACTGCAACTACTGTGCCATTAATTACGTTTTCATTAGTTTATTTGTCGGGTAACGAGGACGAAAAAGCGACGCGGAATCCTGGTCGACCTAGTGTTTGCGAATCGTGGAAAGAGATTTGTTTTTCTGTTTACGTGCCATCTGTTTCGCGCGGAATGCTTGAACATCGACTCGAGTTTCAAACCACGAACGTAAATCAATTCGTACGAAATTGATTTTTCTTTCGTTCCAGATTTGTGCTATTTGTGTTATTTTTCGGCTTTCAGGTGTTATTTTTTATACTAAAGATTAAAACGTTAGAATTTCTCTTTAGTTATTTTATTTGTGGTACCGGGTTACTGGTAACCACCATTCAACGTGCTAATATTAGTAGGTTTTAGAATTTTAATTCTGTTTCCTTTGCTAAATTCGTAATTCGTGAATGCTGCTGTTATTGATTTGTTGTTAGAAATGGAAACGTTATATTTGGATAAATTATAGAAAGTTATCACACGGTAAATCAAGTCTTTAAAAATATTCTATTTATTTTTGCTAATTTCTTCTCTTCGAAAACCTATTTTTCGTCCATTTTCACCATACAAGAGAATCAAAAAGAAAAAGCTGCACGTTCTTGTCCCGTTGATTTTTCGTGTGGTAAATTGCCCTTGTTATTGAGCCTATCGCTCAAAGGAGCCTTCGACCGGTAAAGAACTGTTTGAAATAAGGGTTGGGAAGACAAAGCGCAGGAAAAGGGTCGTGAAAAAGGAAAATTGGAAGTAGACGCAAGTCAGCAGAAACAGCGGAGCATTTTGTTGGCCAAAGGTAGGGCAAAAAGTGAAGCCTGCGAAACAAAGGGTCGAAGCGTCACATGTTTTTCCTCGTTAAGCTGGCTCTACTTAAGCAAATTGCTTAATTAACTCATCTAATTATACGGCAGATCCTCCACCCTTAAGTCCCGAACGCTTTCCACGCCAAGGGAAGCTTTGCAAAGCAAGGACTCGTTGATTCTACTTTAGTTCAGTGATAAGTCGTCTTCAGTTCGATCGTTCTATCTTTTTTTTTCATTGCTTTCTTTAGCTTTTCTTTTCTTTACGTTTGAAAATTATTTGCTGAATAGTTTAACATAACTAAAACGCTAAATTTTAATATTACTATGAATAGACTCAAAATAATAGTTCGTGTAACACTAGATCACTTCAACGTTTACGTTGAAAGTGTTATTTTTATTTTATTTTATTTTTAGTTTCTGTAAAAACAGAGTGTTCGAAGGAAATTCGAGCACAAAAATGTGTACAAGAGCAAATTAGATCCGTGGCTCGAAACAAAGAGCTAGAATTTTCACGACTCACGAAGGGCTTCTATTTTCCCAATTATTCCGCGACTCTGACGTTTCCACGCAGAGGAAGATTTTTGGGCAAAATAATTATAAAGTCTCTTCTATCTGGTTTCCCCGAAAATTCCGAACGGTCGAGCAACTTCAACCGGATAGACAGGCGCAATTAAAACCGGCGCGGTAATTGAATCGTAGAACCGAAACTTTCGTTAATGAGCCGCTATCAGTACGTAACGGTTGTTTTAACGAGTATTGCTTGGAATATAAGGCTTCCGGTGCGGCCCTCTGAGGCCACTCTAATTATCCTTACGCTCCCTTCGACGAGCTTTTCGCTGTTACCTTCTGCTTTTTGTTCTTCTTTTTCTTTAATATTCCATTTTATTTTGACCCTCTTTGCTGACGCTTGATTGCGTGACTTCATTTTTCAAACTAATTATAGCGTTGGTACACTATCCTGGTAATTACTTTCTCAACTATGTTTTTTTTTTTTTTTTTTAATGAATGTGGGTCACTTAAAGTCTACTTTTTCGATATCACACGTTTTCTGACTCTTATTATATTCCTTTGATGTATTTATAGCTGGACACTTTCACCTACAGCATCATATTCATTATCTTTTATTCTTCTAATTAGTTCCTTTATTCACAAACTTTCTTCTCGTTAGTGTAAAATATTCTTCAGCTAAAATTAGCTTAAGGTAGAAAAAAGGAGCAGGGATTAACCATTTACTGCTCAGCTGGAATAGTGTTTGCGGCTTTTACTTTAGTAATGAATGAATTGAATGAAATGAGGATTTGACGGATGAAGGTTTAAAGCAGCGCTTTAAAGCTGAGCGCCGCAGCTTTAAAAGCTTTCTCCGCTGATATAGCACCGGAACGTTGACAGATAGCGTTCGAAGGGATTTTGTGAAATAGAATTTTTCTGTAAAAATGATTTCCTTCTTTGTTTATCTTTCTTCGAAATCTATTGCTCGATTCAGTACCGCGTTTCGCAACGAGTTTAGTATTTTACTAGCGTTCCGCGAATTTCCGGCGAGTGTACTCGCACAAACAAGTCAAGGATTCTACAAATCTTGTATGAGTGCTCTGCGAACATTCTACAAGTGTTTTCCTCGCATTCTTGAATGAGTCAACAATAATCTACCAGAGTTCTCGTTTCGCTAAAACTGCAAGCGTTTCTCCACCGATAAGTTCACTCATGGTTGCTGTTGATTATTTGATAAAAGTATATTAATAGAACAAGAGCTTTTATTAGTGTTTCATTTATTTTCCTTAACTTTGTTAAACAAAATTATTCAT